TGAGGGATTTTGTAATTACCGATAGGTTTAAAGTCTCAAATAATAAACGGAGCAATTAGGAATTAGGGGTGAAGGTATTTGAAAAAATCATTAAAAAAAAAAAGAAGCATCGCCACACTTGATTACATTTGTAGCAGGGGTCTACAACTCGCGGCCCGCGGGCCATTTGCGGCCCGCAAGACGATATTTTGCTACGTGAAAGCAAAGTAAAGTTTAGTGTTAATGCGGCATACGCGTTTTCCCCATGCCCATTCTCATATCTATAACGTGACCCTCCGTGAAAGTTTCAGTAGAATCTCACAGACTAGTCTAATTCTGATTTTTTTATGTTTGTATAGATTTGGACGTTGATCATAATGGTGAAAACCGTTGTAAAAAATCGGAATAAAAGTTTTTATTTTATAGCATTTTATGAGACTTACTTGGCCAAATTGCGGGTTTGAGAAAAGTTTAAAAAATCAGTGGGTAATGCACAACCATAATTGTGTAAATCGTAGCAACCTGACACAGTATCAAAGAATCCCTATTAAAATTGCCGCTAGTGTCTACGAGTGAGAGAAATTCCAAGCCTGTCAGCTTGGTCACTTTCAAAATAGGGTTAGTCATAAAGGCCTTTTCTACAATAAAAAATCAAATTTCATTCTCCCTACAATAGCATCTTCTATCGCAGGCCGGCACAACATACGGCCCACATGTGGCCTGCCAGCACCCACTTTGTTGCCCGCGAAGTAACGAAATATTCTTTATTCTTTATTTTCTTAATAGTTTTTCACCTGTCCTATTTTCTTTTGGTCCCGACAAGTCCTCTCTTATTTTCTTTTGGCCAGCACAAGTTTTTCATAAAGTATTACGGCCCACCTTACATTTTGAGTTGTGCAGGCCTGTTCTATTGCATCAATAATGCATAAATATTGCCTGCCCACTATTTGAACACGTTTTAGCCTTCATGGAGAAGGATGGGGTGACTGTTCCTGTACTAAGTGATCCCAAATGGCTCATGGACTTGGCTTTTCTTGTTGACATTACACTGGAGCTGAATGTAATCAACAAGATGTTACAAGACCAGGAGAACTTGTCAGTGTTGCCAATGAAAATGTCAAAGCATTCTGCACAAAACTTGTGTTATGATTCTTAGAGTAAACTCTGCCATTTCCCAACATGCCAAGTACTTATGGACTCAGGCACACCATTCAGTAGTAAGTATACTGGTGTCATTGGAAATCTACAGGAAGAATTTGATCACATTGTTTTAGACTTCAAAACTAACAGAGCAACTTTTCGCTGACCATTTCTCCTTCAATTTGGAAGATGCAACGCCCCCCCCCCCCCACTCGCGATTCAAATGTAGCTACCCAAAAAATCTTACAAAAATTCCACTTAACAGCTTCGTGCCNCTGCCATTTCACAACATGCCAAGTACTTATGGAATCAGGCAAACCATTCAGTAGTAAGTATACTGGTGTCATTGGAAATCTACAGGAAAAATTTGATCACATTGTTTTAGACTTCAAAACTAACAGAGCAACTTTTCGCTGACCATTTCTCCTTCAATTTGGAAGATGCAACGCCCCCCCCCCCCACTTGCGATTCAAATGTAGCTAACTGATCTTCAGTGCAATGTCCTTCACCTTCCCTAAAATTTTTAGGTTGTTCAAGCAGATCATATGACTTTTTGGGAGTACCTATCTGTGTGAAAAGCTCTTTTCCACTATGAACTCAAGTCAAAGTTCAGGGCCAAACTTACTGATGTAGCTATACTAAGAGTCTCAGTTGCTTTCTCACTCAAGCCAAATGTTGCTCAGCTGTGTAAGAGGAAGCGCTGCCAGATCTCTGTCAACAAGGAGTAGGAGGAAGAAAGTGAAGCATAGTTCTTGAGAACCATTATTGTAACAGTTGTTCTTTATTGACTTTTTAATCGCTTTTTTTTTTGGTGGAATACTTGATGCCGCCCAGTCTCACTCAGACTCTACCTGCTGCGGCCCCCGGATGATTTGAGACCCCTGATTTATAGCTTGTGTCTTTCAATCATTTTAGACTTCACCAGAATGCAACGGGATTGACTTCTTATGTGATATGATCTAGTAATATGTAACCAGGACACAAATTTAATCCTGAAAACCTATGCTTTAAAAAAAAAATCCTTTGTTGATTATATTTCAATATTAACTCACATTTTATGAAATTGACCCACAATTAGTCATTAGTTTAAATAAAGCTAAATTATTAGTATAAACATTTTTTGTGCTGTCAAAATTTCTTGTGTGCTCATCCCACAACACACACTCAGTTTAAAGCAGCTGTTTTCTTCAGTTTTTATCTAACAAGATAGTAAAGCTATAACTTACCAAAAAACTTAAGCATGAAGGTATTTGAGTATTAATCAGATATTGTTTTTTTATGTGAGTAAAGGTACCACAAAGTTGAAAAGCCCCAACTTTAAGAAATCTTTTGTGGAAGAACATATGGAGTCCACACTATTAGAAAATGACAATTTCCGAAGCAAACTGGGCATCACTTAGATCGATGTTGTACAACACCGCCATGGACTTGAATAGAGCTGGCTTGTGGAAAATCATGAAGAAATACGGATGCCCAGACAAGTTCACAAACATCATCCGTCAGCTGCATGATGGTATGATGGCCCGAGTACAGGACAACGGTCAATCATCTCCAGCATTCCCCGTCACAAACGGTGTAAAACAGGGTTGTGTTCTTGCTCCCACACTCTTCAGTATTATGTATTCCGCAATGCTGTCTGATGCGTTCAAGGACTCCACCATGGGCTTGCCAATCCGGTTTCGTACTGATGGATCAGTATTT